GGATTTTACATAGATTAAATGTTATGATTACATTAGTTCATCAATGGTTTAAAAATTATGAATTTGGAAATGCTACACAAGCTATATATTCATTTTGGTTATATGATTTTTGTGATGTTTATTTAGAAGCATCAAAAGTTATATTTAAAGGACCTGATAATGAAAGAAGAAGAGCTTCAGAAGATGTTTTATATAATGTCATTGAAATTGGATTAAGAGTTCTTCATCCATTTATGCCATTTATTACAGAAGAACTTTGGCAAAGATTACCAAGAAGAAATAATAATGAAATATCAATTATGGTATCAAGTTATCCTGAACCAATTAATGAATTTAATAATCCATCTTTAGATGAAGAAATTAAATATATTTATACTATTATTAAAGGAATAAGATCACTTAATGGAATTTATTCACAAGCTATTATTTCATCTAAACAAAAACCAAAGTGTACTATTGTCACTCAAAGAGATTTGGAAGGTTATGAAATTATCATTAGTAGTTTAGCTGGTATTGGTGATGTAAACATTGTCAAGGATGGAATTTACAAAGGATCCCCAATGCATGTCATCGATAATTCTACAAGATTATACTCTCATTTGGAAGGAATCATTGACTATAAACAAGAAGCACAACGATTAGCTGCAAAGAAACAACAAATGGAAAAATCCTTAAAAGATCTTGACTTAAAAATTAATGATGTTCATTTCGTTAAAACACCTGAAGACGTTAAGAAAACAATTTTAGAAAAGAAACAATCATTAATTGAAGAAATCAATTTAATCAATCAAGCACAAAATGAATGCTTGGAAATGCTTCATTAATTAATTTGATTTGATTCTTTAAAATCATTTTTTATTATTTAAGACTTTTTAATTTCATTTATGACATTTTTATATTCTTTTTATGATTAAAATAAGTTAAATATTGATAAATGAGATAATGTTAGAAACTGGAATAACAAATAATAAACACCTTTATATATGATACAGTACAACCAATGACAACTATCTGTCTCAATGATTATCACCATGATGTAAGAGTATTAATATTCGTTGTCAAAATATAAATGATTAAATAAATATGTTCGTGGTTAATATTAATACGAAGGAAGTAAATTGATAGACAATAAACTAATTAAATAGAAATTTAATAAACTGAAATCCAATATAAAATAAAAAAAATGACAAGAAGAAAAATCAACAAAATCATCAATAAATTATTTAGTGCATAAATAATCATTAATTTAATAAAACTTATTTGAATAACAAAAAGAATTAAATAAAAATAAAATTTATTAGAATATAGAAGACCTAAAACTTGATAAAGAAATTTTAATGAGAGAATGGAGAGAACTTTTAATGTCATGTAATAAAAATGACCTACATTCGAGAAAAAAGATGCTACAATTTCTTGAGTAACACTCCTTAATGGTTATAAAACGAAAACTTTAGCAAATATTTTCTTATTAATTTTTCTCATCAACAAGGTTTGATAACTTGTATAATAATAACAAAAAATAATTAAAGAACTTGTTTAATAAAAGTTCATGTTATTAAAAACAAATCAGAAGATTAGTTCTGTCAACGTGGAACATTGTCAGAACACTGATAAAAGAGAACTGATGAAATATAAAGTTTAATGAAATTCATTCTTTTTACTTTACTTACTTTTTTAGTATCTGCTGATGTGGTATCATTAAACCCAGCAAATTTTAATACAATTGTTGATGGAAGTAAACATGTCTTTGTTAAGTTCTTTGCTCCATGGTGTGGACACTGCAAAAAACTTGCCCCAGAATATATTAAACTTGCTGATGCTTACAAAAATAAACAAGACATCGTAATTGCTGAACTTGATTGTGACAATAAGGACCACAAAGATCTTTGTGGAAAGTTTGGAATTAATGGATTTCCAACTTTAAAATTCTTCAGAAAAGGAACTACTGAACCAATTGAGTATGAGGGTGGAAGAACTGTTGAAGACCTTTCTCATTTTATTGAAGAAAAGATTCAACCCAAAGCACCTTCTAATGTTGTCTCAGTAACAAGTGCTACATTTGATAGCATTGTAATGGACCCAACTAAAAATGTCTTTGTTAAATTCTTTGCTCCATGGTGTGGACATTGCAAAGCTCTTGCACCAAAATATATTGAAGTTAGCAAGATGTATGCTGGTGAAGATGACCTTGTTATTGCTGAAGTTGATTGTACTGAAAATCAAGAGACATGTAACAAATATGAAGTCCACGGATATCCTACTTTAAAATCATTCCCAAAGGGAGAAAATAAGAAACCTATTGCCTATGAAGGAGGAAGAGAAGTTAAGGACTTTGTTACATATTTCAATACAAATTATGGATATGATAGAGATGAAACTGGAAAGTTAGGTAAAATGGCAGGAAGAATTGCTGAACTTGATGACCTTGTTAAAGGATTTGTTGATAAAGAGAACAAAGAAGAAATTATTAAGAAGGCTGAAGCAATAGAAGGAGGAGCTTATTATGTTAAAGTTATGAAAAGAATTATTGAGAGAGGAGCAGATTATGTAGAAAAAGAAAAGGCTAGAATCAACAAAATCTTAGAAAATCCATCTATGAAAGCCAAGAAAATTGATGACTTCACTAGAAACTTGAATGTACTTGAAGTTTTCTAAATATAATGCTAAGAGAAAACAATTAAAATGATTTAGTTTTCCTTATTTTAGGTTTAATTTAGTTAAAAAATAAAAAAACCATTAAAATGAACCATAAGAAAATCAAATTAAAATCCAGCATCATTCTGATCCATTGGTCCTTGCATTCTTTGTTGTGGAATCTTTGGGCCTCCTGCAGGTTTTTGCATTACTATTTGATCAACAAGAAGAATAGTAGTTGCAATATTAGTTGCTAATTTAATAGCATTCTTTTTTGCTTCTAAATTATCAAATACCATTTCTTGTTTAGTATTAAGTAATTGAGTATTTGAATCAACATTAACTCCCATTGAAATATCATTTTGATGTGCAACAAATAATTCAGAAAGAACTTCAGTTGCATCAAGTCCTGCATTTTCAGCTAAAACTCTTGGAACCATTTGGAATGCTTCTGCATATTTCTTAATAGAATATTGTTTTAGTCCATCACACTTATCTCCTACTTCACTAATCTTTTTTGACATTTCAATTTCAAATGCACCAGCTCCCCCAACAAATTTTTTATGTCCTTCAATAATTTTAAATTCACAGACACAATCATCAATAGCTTGTTCAATGTCATCTAAAATATTTTGTGTTGATCCA